TTAAAATAAGTTTTCAAAAACAGAGAGAAGAGAAAAGAAATTAAAACTATCCGCAACACTAAACTTTCCACACTTTCATTCATTCGATTATGATTCGACGCGAAAGATACTTATCACTGGGTTTGGTTTTGGGGAGACACAAATGGGTGTCTACACCTATATATATTGGAGGTTATGGATTCAAATCTTGTTAAAAGCATATTTTATTTTGTTGAATGAAGTGGCTAGCTTACGTTGCGCATACACGTTGGATGATGACATGGCATTACGACATAGGCACACATACTTTGAAGAGTGCCACATGGAACCGTTACTTTTAAAGGAACGCCTTTTAATATATACTATAGTAGATTATCTATGTCTAAACTATAGTGTAGATAACTCTACATACACCCCCTCTTAGGCTCTTAAACGGTATTGTTTAACCCTATACCCCCAATCTCCCACTACCAACTTACATAATACCCAGTAGTCCAGTACGCACCCCCACCTCCCCATTTATTAACTTCCTACCCCACATTAGTCACATAAATACGAAATATACATTTAATAGTTGAAAGACTCTGTAATTCTGTATGACTGTATTAAATAACACTCCGTAATCAATAACAATAACATTAATAACAATAATCACTTGGATAATTTGGAGAAAGATGATTGTAGACACCAAATTGTGTCTCCCCAAAAACCAAACCCAGTGATAAACATATTTCACGTCATTGATTATCGAACGAAGTGAAATGTGAAAGAGTCTCGTGATTTTCCTTTGTTTTAATAAAAATATTCCTTTCTGTTTTCAAAAATCTTTCTTTTCGTATCTTATTTATGGAAAATGTCCATGATATGGGTCCAATAATTGTGTGGTTAGATGAGGGTCGAAAAGAGATTTCCAACGATATATTATAAGCCCAATTCCAATGAATAATGAGGAATTATTGTCTTAATATTAAGGAAAAATTGCAAAAAATAATACAACCTTTGGCCGATTCTTTTTTAATAATATAACCTTTGGATTATTTCTGAATATTACAACCTTTGGGGGTGTTCATTTTAAACAAGACAAAAAACTTGTAACCGGTTAAACCGGTTGCACATGACACGTGTTGTTATTTAACTGGTCTAAATATTAATTTTTTAAATAAATAAATAATTTTTTATTTTTAATAATCAATAAGACTCTTTAACATTTAATTATGCCTAATTATAACATTAATTATGATTTAATATTTTTAAGCAAATTATAAAAAATATTATAATTTCACCAACCCCCTCCCCCATCACCCACCAGGCCACCACCACATCTTCCACCACCCAACCAGCTCTTCTCTCCCTCCCCCAAACGCATCAACTCCCCGGCGACGCTACGACCGGCGCCCAGCTTCGGCGGTCAACCCACCTTGTCATGTTTTCCTCCTTACCCCGACCTCACCTTTCCCCCGTCGCGCCACCACATCCAATGAAACCCTAACCAAAATTTTTGTTTGATTTTCTTGGTGATTTTGAAGTTTGATTCAAGATTTTTTTTTGTTTGATTTAAATTTTGATTGTTTTCGGTTGGGTTTTGATTAGAGAGAGAGGAATTGATTGATTTTTTGTGGTAATTGGTGGGGGGACTTTTCGCTGCTGTTGGTGCGAAGATCGGGAACGACAACAGTTTGTTGGAGTTTGGTTGTGTTTCGTTGGCTGCGATTTGTGGGAGTTTGGTTGCGGTTCATATTCACTGGTGTTAGTGGTGGAGGTTGGCTGCGGTGGTCGGGATGGGGTAGTCGGGATAGAATCGGGGCTGCAGAAGGTGGTGTGTGTGAGAGTTGCGGCCTAGTCAGGGTAATAGGAGGTTGGTTGGCCGGCGGTGGGTGAGCTGGATATCGGCCGACCGATTTCTGGCTCAGGTGGCGAGCTTTGTGCAGGGTATAGGGAGAGGAAATGGTGGCAGGATGGTGGGGATTGGGGAAGGTGGTGGTTTTATTTTATTTTTTTATTTTTACAATAATAATAATAATAATAATAAAAGTGTTTTTTTTATTATTTTATATCTTTTAAAAATTAAAAAACATTAACTAAATTTTTAAAATTAAATTAAATTAACAAAACCAATTAAATTATGACACGTGCCAGAGTAACCTGTAAAATCAGGTTACCAACCGGTTTTGCCTGTTTAAAATAAACACCCCCATAGGTTGTAATATTAAGAAATAATCCAAAGGTTATATTATTAAAAAAGAACCGGCCAAAGGTTGTATTATTATTTGCAATTTTTCCTAATATTAAATTGGATCTTAAATGAGTTTTATGGGCGACCCAATAATCAAGTGGAGGGTCCATTAATTACCATTCCTAAAGTCATTAGGAATTACTTTAATTTTCTAAAATAGTCTAGAAGGTTATTTTAAATTCTACAGAGATTAGAATTAATAATTATATTTTTAAAAAAGGTAAAAAAATTTAGTTGAAATAAAACAAGTGTTTTAAAGAGATTTACCCTGATTTTAATGACAAAGTACAAACTCTAATTACCCAATTATATTGGAAAAAGAACTCCGTACGAAAAAATATTATCCCGCAGTACCATTGAGCTGCGACAGGTCCATCGCGTGGGTGTAATTTTACTTAGATTGGAATTCGATCTTATCTAATCGTTTCTATAAATTTTTCTCTATAAATAGGGTCGTATTTCCCTGTCTTCAATCATCAACAATCATCTTTCTATTCTCTCTCAAATCTAGGAGCTTATTTTTTTTTCCATCTTTCTAAGTCTTGCCTTTTCAAAAAACACAGTACATCCATCACGAGACTTAGACACACCTAGCCAAGTTCAAAGTTGCCTTTGCACTAGAGGTGAAAGGTTGATAACTTTTTAGGGTTTGCTTCCAAATCCCTATTTCAATTATTTAAAATAATTGTTTGATTTAATGTGTCCTTGAAGTTACCAACGTGTGTATTTTTTTTATAGAAAGAGTTACGAGGCAACAAATTAAGTAGTTTTATTGCTCTATTTTCTGTAGGAATCATGTTTAGATTATTTTAATTCCTAGTATCATGTTAGGATGTCTTCATGATTCCTAGTATCATGTTTAGGGTATTAACAAATATTTCTAATATCATGTATGTTTCCAATATCATGATTAGGTTGCTTCATATTTCTTATATCATGTATGTCTATAGTATCATGTTAGGGTTAAAGTTTTGATCTTTATTGTTTAGTGACATGCTATGAGCTGATATTAATCATGTTAGTATCACGCCTAAGATCTTGCTAATATTATGCTTTGATGAGAATATTATTTTGATGATGATGATTTGTTATATCAATATTATTATATTATTGTTATTGCTTGATCACGCCCTCTCTTGCAGGTTTAAAGGAAATTTGTACTTGAAATCATGCTTAATAAGATAATTAATAATTTTATTTAGGCTAATATGATTTTAATTCAAGTGATTACCAATAATATATTTGTTTGTGCATTAATAATTAAGCAACATAGATTAAATAGATTTAGGATTAATATATTGTTTGTATGTTAGTTAGAAAGCGCACATGAATATGAGAAGAATAAAGTAGAGGCTTATTTTTAGGGCATGTTTAATCTCTTTAAGTTGAATTTGTACCTTTGTCCACGAATATCCAGTCATGGTTCATGACCACAATGGAGTTAGCGATCTCTAGGATCTTGAAGGGGTGTAACCTTCACCCTGTGAATGGTTTACAAGTTCCTAAAACTTGTTGGTGATTCTTTTGCTCTAACTTCCTTCCTTTTCGACGCCACCATACTTAAGTGTATGATCACAGTGGGGCTCAAGTGTGGGATGCTTGAAATTTTCCCTACAATGACATTGATGTTGAAGAGATGTTTGAGAATTCTAAAGCAACAACAAACAAACAACTAATAATTAGAGATTGTAAAACCTCATCTTCTTGCTACTCCGTATGTTGTTCGCCCTTTGAACTTGTTCTCTTGCAACTTTCAGAATTGCACATTTATGGAAGGTAGCGCCCACTTCCCTAATTTCTTTTAACATCCAATAAATCACAACGTCCCTCCCAAGCTATCATTTAGGTTGTTAATAAGTAAGACAGAGTCGGAAAGAAGTAGGATCCCCTCCTTACCTCGTGTTCAGGCCCAACCACTTCATTGCTTCGAGACAGGCCCAAGCCTAACATTGGATAACAGAAGAAGCAACCCCACACTTCCCCCCTCACCTAAAAAGTTACCCTGATCATTTCTTGTGACAGCCCAGCCAATTCCTGCCCTAATAGTCTTCTTGTCCAACGACCCATCCGTATCTTCAATAAAGTTATTGAACCCAATTTTTCATTTCCCAGTTGCACATAATTGAAACCTTGGGGAATGATAGGATCATCCTTGCTCTTAGCAAAGGTTAGGATTGTCGTGGTTGTCGTTGTGGATAAAAACTTCATGGTCCTGCATTGCTGAATTAATGAATTCTGCAACTAACCTAGTTGTCCAAGTAGTTCCATTGAAATATCTTGCATTTCTAGCCTTCCACAAACCCCATAATGTCACTAATACTACACCAAAATCTTTCAAACCCCAACTCTTAATTCTCATGTACTTTTTTTTTTTTTTTTTTATTTTTTTTTATTATTATTTTATATCTTTTTATTTGACATCCAAACACACTTCCACCTCTCTAAAAAAAAAAAACCTCTAAATAATTTCCACTATTATTTTTCTTAATAAGTAAATAACACACAAGTACTCAAAAAACTACCTATTCATTATATGCAATATAAAAATCAATTTCACGTATTTGAAATAGACCAAGGCTAACGAACGCTCCGGGGGCGTTGAATAAACTAGCTAAAAATCGAAAGATTAAATTAAAATGAACATTAGCTACACCGTCGACGCGTAATTTTGTCATGCTTTCCCAAATTTATACCACTTTTTATAATATTTTGCCCCGCGTTCGTTAGCAAGATTCTACGGAGTAGTTTTGTTATACTCCGTATCGGGTACACTTTAGTTTTTACTAATTTTCACTCTAAACTCTGCGTACCTCTTTCTCTCTGTGTCGTCCATTGAAGCGGGTTTCTGAGCTTTCTGTCTCTATGGAAGCAGCTTCTCAGAATCTCAGGTAAGACTCTTTATTTTTATAATCATCGATCGAATATCAATTGCACAATATAGGTTTTGGCTTCACACTATCGTTAAGTTCACTGTCAATACCGCCAATTTAGGGTTCTTCTAGATGGAGTATTGATTTTATTGGTTTTAATTACTCAACTTTTGAAAGTGTGGAACAAGCGATTTTTCTGGTGCAATATGCTTGTTGTTATCGAGTTTTATATGATTTTGGAGCGTAAATTGATAATTGAGTCAAATTTGTTGGCTAAGTGTTGCACTTTTTTAGCCTAATCGAGTGCTGAGCTGAAATTGGTTGAGAGACTATTCGAGCCTGAGCCGAGCTTAGCTTGGGATTTTGAGGCGACGCGAGTCTTGATGAGCTTTGAATTCTAGCCGCGCCTGCCTATACTTTAACACCCCAGGATTGATTGAACACCTCTTAAAAAGTTTGATTTTAGGTGAATGAAATTCTTCGGTTTTATGTATTGATGATTTTTCAATTGTTTGGCACATTCTATATGCACAAAGATTTGATTTTTTTTCGGTTGTTTGGTGTTAGGGTTCCAGAAGAAGGATGGACCTGTACATATTTTTCCATGAGATTGTTTTGGAGGGAAGCATTGATACGCTATATAAAGTAAAGCTGCCATCTTTTGACAAAATAAACACAGAGAAATCAACTGAGCTTTTAACTCCAATGTTGGTGTTACCTAAAGACAAGTACCCATTCTCTATGGGATGTGTACATTTCAATTCCAAAGTCTATTTTTTCGGGGGCTTGTCTCGCCACCCCTTCGAAATTGAAGATAACAGTGCGAATGTTGGACGCGATTTCACAGCTGATGTTTATCCTTGTGACGCTTATGTTTTGGACCTTACTGATAATGATCTTGTGCTGAATAGAGTTCCGAAGACTGGGAAACCAAGTACTTTCGGGTTTGTGGCAGGTGGGATGATCTGTCATCGGGGGAAAAGTTATGAGGTCCTGTAGATTTTCAGACAGCAAGATTAAATGCTTTGAGCGGTACAATCCTGTTTCTATGACATGGCAAGTTCTAGACGACATCCCCCTCCGAGGTCTATGTCAATGCTTTGGAGCTTCTGTTGTTGAAAACCAGCACAAGGTCTTAATTAGTGGGTGGAAAGATGCAGACATAGTTTTTCTTGTATACGACTTCCTCCATGGTACTTGGGACTCTGAAAACCTTTTGATCTCTTGTAATTACGGTCGTAAAACTTATACTATTAGCCACATTAGTGTTTCTGATTTTAATGGACAAGGACATTATTTGTATGGCCTACGGTCTTGTGAAACCGGCGCTCTGCCCATTAAGTTGGGACCTCTGAAAGAGTTAAAGGTTAAACAGATGCGCAAGCTTTCAAAAGTTGATGTGTCCACACATGACGGTCGGAATATTCGAGGTGTTTTCCGTCAGATTGGGCGTTTTACCCTCAATGAGATGTTGTACTTTGGTGATGGGCATTTCTGTTATGTGGGTATTGCACAACATGAACCTGGTGATTTTGGTGATGATTTTAGCGGCCCTTTTTCCACAAATCCGCGGCATGTATCTTACCATTTTTAAGGATCTTTCTAATCCAGTTGCATTTCAACAAGGCTCCTCTTTTGAAGCTAAAATTTTGTCTGTCAAGAATTATGTCATGAACACAAATTATTATGGTGGTGTCAATATTGGAAGCTGCTTTGTCGCTGGCCATGATTGTAAGTTATCTGAAACCTTTTCATTTTAATATGCATACTGCTATATATATATATATATATATATATATATATATATATATATATATATATATATATATCAATGCAACTAGCAACTTATTCTATGCATAGGCACAATGTTCCTGATTTTGTTTGACATTTTTATAAAATGATACTCCCTCCGTCCCCTTTTGATAATCTCTTATGGACAAATTTTAGTCCCAAAATGTTCACCCCATTTGTTTTTTTCAACAGCCATTAATATTAAATTTTTACCAAAATTGCTTCTAATTTGCAACAATATTTGTGCAAATTTAACTTTTCCATGTAAATTTTGTTTATTAATTCCCGTGAAAAATACCCATAAGGGACTATCAAAAGGGGATGGATGGATGGAGTATATTGTAGTGCGAGTTTCTTGATCTTTTGTGCAAAAAATTGACAGTTTGTGTCATTGATGTTATTTGATGGAATGGAAGGTAGTTTCATTATTCTTGCGTTTGTTTAGGATATTTGCCGTTAATTGGTATGATTTGGCTCTCTGATTTTAAGAAATCGTGGTAAGGGACGTGGGTCAGAGAAAATATATATATTGATTTTTCCTCAATTTGTTTTCACCCTGTTATAATTGGCTATTGAGTGAACCTTTCAAGCGATGCTAGGTGAGCAAATGCAGCTCTTCTGTTTAAAGTGAACCCTAGATATCTTTTTTATGCATTTTTTGGGGTGAGTTGAAGTTGTTGACAGAATGAAAATAAATAGATTCCTCGTTCTTATACATACAATATGGAGAAATAGTGGGTTTTCGTTCTAAGGTTTGGTTCCTATGATTATACACAATTACACCTTTGGGCTTTATACTTGTATACGATAATGTTGGAGTGTGGATGACCTCTTACTGCCATTTCTACCTACTGAATTCATCTTTTATTGACTCCTTGGTTGTTCCCATCTTTTCCACTTCCATCTGCAAATTCAATTACAAGTGGTCTTAAGTTCTATAAGCCCAATTCTCACTACCCTTGTAAGTTGTAAACCCGAGCATTCAAATGCTTGACTAGCACCTAAGACTTGTGAAAAGCAAAATAGCTAAACCCCACTTCTCTTTTCCATTGATCAATGAATAATACTCCACAACTTGTGCCAATGACTAGTTCTATCAGTGAAATGACTACAGAAAAAGAATGAATCATTAACCAACTACACAACAGTATGCTTACCTATGAAGCAAGTATTTTGTCCACACCTTTTACCGACTACTCACTACTAAAGGAGTTTAAGCCCAAATTTCATCTATGAAAATGACTAAATGGAATGAAGCAAATGCAAAATTATAGCAATCAACATTAACCAAGTCAAAACCAATGAGCCATGACATCACATAAAAAAGCTCTAAAATGACAACATAACAAAAACCAAAACAAAACATATCATTGTCATCATCATCAATCACAAAATAGAAACTTATCAATTGATAAAAAATTTAGCACAGAAAATGGACTTGCCCCAGTAACCTTGACAAACTGGCCATCAACAGCACCTCTAAGCTCAGCATCAGGAAACTTTTTAACAAAACCCAAGATTGCCCTCTTCTCCCAAGCATAATTTCACCCTAGATTAATCTTGGCTAGAACTGCTAGGCCATGTAGAGATATACCGTCCTACTTTTGTTAGAACTGCTGTAAGTCGTGTGCAGTGATCAAATGTAGTATTCACCATACATCTGTGCCCATTGATTCACCTTTAGTTGAGTCCATCAATTTTGTTTTTATTATTATTATTATTATCATTTTTTGTTTTATTGGTACTCCTTGTTTTTTCACAAGTCTTGGCGTGTACCTTCATTTAAAATGTGTATGTTGAACACATGTGATTGTATCCTTGTTGCGTGGTTTACGTTAGATTTATTTTACAGCTTAGTTTCATGTTTAAGCGAATATTACTTTGTAATTAAGTTGACCTAATCACAATTTCTCACTCCTTTCCTTCCCTCCTTCCTGTTTTTGAATGAACCATTCATCTTCCGCCAAATGTGCTAGCTCTCTCTATTTATCGTTAGAATCAGTTGATCATCAGCCATTCTCCTCACCCTTTGTCTTTTGTTTTTCACATTTTTGATTTGATTGTAGCAAAATTCTCAGAAAAAAAAAAGGAAAAGGGGGATAAATTCTCTACAAAATTAAGTGGGAACTTTTATGATTATAGTACTTGTGAAATGTATTCTGAACCTTCTCATCAGTTTCGTCTTCTTGTATGTTTGATGCCACAAATATTGCCTGATTGACCCGATTAAAAGGGGAATAGCTTACTTATATAGTCAAGGATTATTGCCAAATTAAGTGTTCTCCTAATATCCGTCGTTAGTAGTTTCCTTAGAGTCTACCAAAAAGAAAGTTATATAATCACAAGCTATGTTACCTGGATTCGGGTACTACCTGACTTGGCTATTTTGTGAAAAGTATCCGTAATTTTGGCTTAAAACAAAGTATCAAAGTGTATATCCTTTTGGTTTATCTAGGCTCTGTTTGTTTTGAAAAGAGGGCAAAATAATTTTTTCACAAGGGGCAAAATTCCTTCCAAGAGAACAAAATGTATCTCTTTCTCAAGGAAGGTATGTCACATTTTCCACCATATCTCTTTACATATTTCCCTCCTATCAGTCTAATATGTTAAAACTTCTTTCCTTTTCCCCCTACTTTTCACGGGAACAAACAGTTTAAAACTAATTTCCAACTGTATTCCTTTGGAAAATGTTTTGTATGGAGAATCATTTTCCATTGAAATTATTTTCTATCTAAACAAATGGACCCTTAGTGATTAACGGAGTTAAGGCCGCCGTATGCTTATTGAGATGATATTTGTTCTCTCAATGATATGCAGATGCGATAACTGTTGGGGAGCTTTTCTTACACTACTAGAATTCGATCAAATTGCGACCGTTTTTGTACGAATCGTCAATAAAACGGTCGCAAAAAATGAAATTTGCGACTAATTTATTATGCGGTCGTAGAATTGCTACCGTTTTCAATGCGGTCACAAATTTGCGACCGTTCTGTGACCAACATTCAACTATTAAACTATCCCAAATAGATGTATTCATGACCGGCCTAGTTGTTTGTAGTATTTTTTAATGGGGCGAGAGCAACATCGTTTTATGGCTATTATGATCCAAATGTTAATAAAATTATATTCTAAAAGGGTTGTGTTTCTTAATTAAAAATAAATAAAAAATTAAATTTAACTAAAAACAGGTAGTTCTTGGATTGTGCCCTTTCCCAAGAAAATTTGGGGAAGATGACTAGATGAGATCCTTATCGTCCATATAAAGAACCCTAATAATTCAACTCCATCTTTAAACATTAATCTCCATACACCTTTCTGTTGTTGTTCAAAACACTAACCTACATCATCATCTAAATGGATAACAAAGATGAAGCTTCATCATAAAAAACTCCACCTGAGTTACAAATGCTTGGTTTGCAACACTATTTGTTATATCTTCAAGGGCGTTATGTTGAGGCTTGCAAACAACAGAAGGAGGCGGAAAAAAGAGAAGTTGAATTGCAATTGCTAATTGATAAAATAAAAATTGATATCACAAAAAAAGCGATAGATTGCTGTACAACATCAACAACAAGCAGGGCCTGTAACAAATGATGGTGTCGAGGATGGGAATTCGAAAGTGGGTGTCTAAGATGTAACTGGATTGTTTATATGATGTCATATATTCTTCTTTTCACTTTTTTTATTTTTTATTTTTTTTATTTTTTTTTATCAGGACCTGTTATGTTTTCCCATTGTCCGTTTTTTTTTATTTTCTTTTCAGCACGTTTTTTTTTTGGAAATTGTGTGTATGGTTGGATTATGTTATCCTTAATACTACCTCCGTCAACGGTTATTTGCAACATTTGCCATTTTGGAAAGCTACCTATTATGTGCAACAAATTTTTTTCTTTCCACTTTTAGTAATTTTTTGTCAACAAAATGACCATATTACCCTTACTTAAACAACTTAAACATCTAATTAAATCACTAACCTGATTTCACTATTTACCTAATGAATCTGATTATTATAATCATTTTCACCAAAAATCATTCACCTTCATCAAAATCATTCATCTCCCAAACCCTTATTCAATTGAAATCTCCAAAATTTAAACCCTAACTCTTCATTTTGGTTTATCTTCCCCTTTCTCTCTCCTCTTGCAATTTGGGTTTGGGTTCGTCTGGTTCGGGGGTTTGGGTTCGTGGAATTGGGTTCGTCTGGTTCGTGGGGTGGTTTTAGGGGTTTTAGATTTGGTTCGTGGGGGTGGCGTGAGTTTCGTGGTGGGTGGGTCTTCGTGGTGGGTGGGTCTGGTTTCATGGGTATTCGTGGGGGCGGCGTGGGTGGTTTTGATTTAATTGGGTTTCGTGGTGGTTTTTGTTTAATTGGGTTTCGTGGGGGTTCAATTCGTGGTGGTTTCAGTTTGATTGGGTTTCGTGGTGGTTCAATTCGTGGTGGTTCCATTCGTGGTGGTTTCGGTATGATTGGGTTTCGTGGCGGTTATGGGTGGTATAGTTCTGGGTTTCGTGGTGGTTTTGGGCGGTGATGGTTCTGGATTTCGTGGTTCATACTTAAGTACATCCATTATATTTCAATAATGATGTTTAAAAACTTTTGCCTAGGAGTCCGTGCTACCTCACTATGTTGCAAATAACTGTTAACGGAGGTAGTATTACTAATTTGGTCTTGGTCTTTTGAATCGTATGTACGTATTTAGTTCTATATCCACTATATTTATTTATTGTATTATGTTATTTTGATACAATAAAGTATACTATCGCTAGGATGCTTTTAATGTAACCACACATTGCAGGATGAAATTGATATAGATGAAATATAATTTCGGTTAATTAACTACTTAAATATGACTAATGTAAGAGTATAAGCAATGATTATCTACTGTCAAACATAATGAAAAGAAGTATGTAAGGTAGATAGTTCAATTGCAATTTTGTAGTAATTTAAAACATAACATGGACTATAAACAACTACAATAGAGAAGATGAAAGTCATAGAAATTACTATAAACGGATGCCAAACCAATATTTATGCCCTGTGCCTATGTCTCCATTAGTGTGTATTAAATAATTTTTCCCACGTTTATAGCACCGATGTCTCCAATTAACTTGATGTTGACATGTTTCAAACCCGTTCATAGCCTCAAATGAGTTGTGGTCATATGAGTCTTTTAAAATTGGCTTACAGCAATATTTTTCAAAGTGGATCCAGATGTCCTTGTTCTCGTTGATCCTTTTTCCATTTCTTTGTTGTTTATTTAATGACTGAAATTTCAAGAGATATTCAATCTCTTTGATATTCGGATATATATGCTCTTTAAATATCAGCTCCCATTGACCAAACTCGTCGTGGTTTGGGTAATATTCTCCTATGGATTGTGATTAAACTCTGTTACTTTTTGTAAACAAAGACCCAAAAAATAAAAAAAAGATCCGTAAATGAGTTTTTAGTTCATAAGTAATTGTAAACGATTTTGTAATAAAAGGATTGGAAAATGTTAGTCCAGATTAAAGAAGTTTGGGAGTTAGAGAGAGAGGGACCCTTAAACATTAGTCTTTATTATATGATTACTAGATTAATCCCGTGCGTTGCACGGTTTAAATAGATTTTATTTGTTTAAAATAGTTGTTAATATTTTTTATTCAAAAAAGTGTAATTTTTTTGGTGAAGGATTCAAAAAAGTGTAATCATAATCTTATTTATTAATTTTGTAAGAAATATTGTAATTGTTTAGTTTTAGAACTTATGAGAAAAAAAAATAGAGAAAAAAAAATAATGATGTCAAAAATACTTTTGGCGGGAAAATTTTTTATAAGAAATTGACAAGTGTCCTTTAATGATGTCATTATGTTTTGTTTTAATAATAGTTAATAAATATTGAGGTAAATGGTTCCCAAGTGGTTAGGTTTTCCTTCTTAACTACTTTAATTTTATTTAAAATAAGGCAATTATGTAGTTTTATTAGAGTGTTATTTATTATGACAAATATTTGTGATAAATAAACTTTCATGATCTATTCTTTATTAAAAATTAGAGGAAAATATGGCTTATTAGTTAGTTGAAGAATGATGAAAATACATACAAGTATGTAGTAATTTTTTTAGCAAGATTAAAGATTAATAGATTAATTTTATAAAACTAAATAAACTGGGAAAAACTGTAAAAAAAGTAAATGCAAAATTTTAACAAGCAGACAATGACCTTCTCGACTCGACTCGACTCAAATTGAAACTTTGATGATGAATAATTGAGCAGGTTTTATTGCATCGAAACTTTACTGAGCACTACTTGGTCGTATGTAAGAATTTTTTGAGGACAATGTTACAAGTAAATGCGAAACTTTATCGAGTAGACCATGGCCTTCTCGACTCGAATCAACTTGAAACTTTAAAGACAAGTAGTTGAGCAGGTTTAAAGAAAAAACCCTAGCCTGCTCTCTCTCTTCTCTCTCCTAAATTCTAGCCACCATTCCCAATTTTTAAGGGGCTTCCATCGGATTTCACCGGTGGAAAGCCCCCTTTATTTTCATTTAAGCTTTTTGTTTCTTAGGTTACAATAATGTTGTAATCCCCCGTATTTTTAAATATGTTATAAATGAAATTTAATTTTCTTTATAATATTGATTTGTATTTTTTCATAATTTAATTTCAAAATATTCAAATTATTAATTTGGGTCAAAATTATTTTGGTACAAATTATTTTATGAACCTTCATTCTATAATTTATTTCAATACAACTAAAGCTTAGTCCATTTCATTCATTTGGCCCATTAATTTTATGAGGGTCAATATTTCTATTTACCCTACAACATTCTTCCCTATAAATACCCCATTAATCCCCAAAATTTTTCCCACACAAAACGGTTAGTAAATTCTCTTATCTTTATTTTATTTCTTTATTTTTCTTTCTTTTTCCTTTTTCTTTCTTTTCTTTTTCTTTCTTTTTCTTTCTTTCTTTCCTGCTTCACGTGAGAAAGACCTCACTCACTACCGCCCACCTACTGCTCGCTGCCGCCACTTGCCTTGGCCGGATTCCGGTGCTGCCGCCCCCTGCTCACCGGCGGACCACCGGCCAGCCACCGTGGCTATCTTTTCTCCTTCCCCCTTTGTTTTATTTACCTTGTATGAATTTTAATGTATTAGTTTTGGGTTTTGATTTTGTAGTATAAAGATTATATTTTTAGTATAAATTCATGTTTTTGTAAATTAAACTTAATAATTTTAGATTTTATTTATGTTATAAATTTTCAGATTTTAATTGTGTATATTTTAGGGTTTAAATTGTGAAGTTTGAAGGTTTAATTAAGTTCTTATGAAACTAATTGAATTCCAATTATATATTTCAAGTTTAATTTGTTGTATTTATACATTCTATTACTTAATCAATTTTACAGATTTTAGGTTATTGTTTTTTAAGCCTCTAAATTCATTGAATTGGTGAATTTTTGGGTTTAAAGCCTACTAACTTAACATATAATGTAAATAGTTTCAAAGATTACTATAATTTTGAGGTTTCATGTATAAAATAAAATTTCAGATTTTTATTAAACTTTAAACTTGCTGTAATTTCATGTATAATAGTGTATTTTAAGGTATTTTGAAGAAAATTTATAAACTATATATAAGCTTTTGATTTTAATTAAAGAGAAGGTTTTAAAGTGTTGTTTGATTTGGATTTTAAAGGTTTTAAAGTAAGTTAGTATTGTTGTAAATTTGATTGTTTGGGTATTGATTGAAGTTTTATTGTTTGATAGGAGAGGAGTTTATTGAAGGTGATTTCTAGTTAGTAAGTGGCATATCAATTCGTTTATTCAAGGTACGTATGAGTTACGAAACCTTGCCTTCATAAGCATGTTTAGGAACAAAACGAGAACTTAGTATCATGTATAGAGAAGACTGAGAATAATTGTTTGGTTATACATTGTGATTTCCGTATGATGTGCACTATTTTACTTTGCAAATATTATTTATGCATTAACTTTGCAAGATGCGCTTAGAGACAAAGGTAGTAATGGAAGAATTCAAGTCTTATAAGACGAGGTTAAGGTTTTGGGGTGCCTTATGCACTCAAGGTGTTTATACACCGAGGTAGTTAAAGGAATAAATAATAAATGTTGTTTGTCACTAATAAATCAAGAATTGAAATTGGAAAACTGTTTTACTTGATTGAATGGATGCTGGATTGATTGTATTGTTTGCATATGAGTCATCACCAAGTCTAAACTTGTAAATCACGTAAAGTGCAAGATCGATGAGCAATAAAACTCTGGATTGGTGCACATCTGGAGTAATGACAATCATGGGTTGGGGTACACGGGATATTAGCCTTGCACTTTTCTCGAGACCGTCTGATCTACGAGTCTCTTATTTCAAATAATTTTTAAAACTAGGAGTTAGGTAAGATCTCATAATAACTACGGTCACGGAGTTGTGCCCGTGGTCGTTGGATGTTTATTGATGTTTCCGAAAGGAGGCATGGGGTTTTTCTTTTATTGCTGTTCCAAATGGAGCATGGGTTGGACAACCTCGTCTATTGCTTAATCCACTGAAATAAATAAATGAGTTAGCTACTATCAACCAAGGAAGTCTAGCTACTATCAACCAGGGAAGTCTTAATAAAATTGATAGATGAGTCGTGTGTTGAGTCTATAATTTAATGATGCATGATGTTTGATTATTAGTAGCATGTTAGAGATTTCTTATTTTGTTTCGCAGCTTGTATGTACTCAGCTTTGCTGATTGCATGCTTTTGTGTGATTTTCTTTGATCATGACCTTCGCCTTTCAATGACCCTGTTATGATCCAATTTTTACACTTGTAATATTGGGGAGCAAATTAATCACAGATACTTGCATAAAGTGGGACTTGCATCAAGTGGTGGGTAATTGAGTGGAGAGTTGGTTCTATTTATGATTTATTTCTCGCAAAACATTAAACTTTGTTAAATGCTACTTTGTTAATTGGGTTTTAATTAAGGGCCTTAATGGTTCCAACTTGTAAGATTTAGTTTGGTTTTTTTAACTATTGGTTTGAAACTTTAATTTAATTGAACTTGTTTTTCACTGCTAAATTCTAAAATAGCCTTAACGTTTGAACACGTGGCGGTAGCACGTCAGTAATTCTCTTGGATTTTGTTCAAGGTATTCACGGGTTTAAAGAGAGAGTGATTGGAGTGTTACAAAGTGGTATCTCAGAGCTTAGGTCTATTTTAATTAACACTAAATTAATTTAAAGTTTTTAGGCGCCTAACGTTTTAAGTCTTGTGATTCTGGATTTAATTACTTGATTTAAAGTTAAACTTTATTTTTGAAAATTATTTTATTAAATAAATTAATTCAACATTTTAAAATAAGAATATTTTTATAAAATGATTGTGTTATTAATTATTTTTTATTGAAATAAAATAAATTTGGGTATTTATTTTATTATTTAAACTTGAGTATTTATTTTATTTTATCAGTGAGTTTTAGGTAGTCTTAAGATGGGCATATAAGATAGATGATTTCTTTCTATGTGATTTGTATTTAATTCTTTTTATATTGTTTATTTTTGAATGAATTGTTTATGCAAGGTATTTAAATTTTGTATGTGATACAATCGTGTACATTTGGTTGTAGTTACCGCCTAGTATTATGTTTAAGGATTAAAGTACGTAACATAGAATAATATTTAATGATGGATTGGGCAATTTGGTAAGTTTGAGTGATCATTATGTGATATGTGAACTTGTGAAGCATCTAATTATGTGAATTTTGAATTATGGTTATTTAATGATGCTATTTATTATTTTTGGGTTGTGGTTTGATATTTCTTTCTTTTATTTGATATTTCCTCCAAACTTTGCATCCATTGAGTGTCTATTTGAGAAACCTTATAAATCTATTTTGGATTATACTTGGAGAAGTGATGAAACATTTGATTATGATGAACTATGGAGGTTGACAATTATGGAGAGCTAGAGAGATTATTAAGTGCCTTGTTAATTGAACCGTCCATATTTGAGGAAATTGGAGGAAAACAAGTGAGGATAAATTATTGAAGGAATATGAGATGGTAAGGAAGTGCCTAAGGAGTTGTTTATTAATTGAAGTGAGTTACGGGGGCGTAATTCTTTTCTTTAATAGGGGTAGAATGCGATATAATTTTGCGCTTTTTACCTAATTCATGCTATTTATTGCTTAATTTTGCATGATTTTTCTCGTCATTGCTTAATAGTATTGTGTTCGCATGCTTTTAAACTTTTAAAGTATGTAAATTTTGGCCAAGTACGAGTTTATTTATTTATTTTTTATTTAATGTGGGTTTTATTTATGTTCGATTTAAATTATGTGGGTTTAATTTATGTTTGTTTTCGATTTATGAGGGTTTTATTTCTTTTTTTGTTGGATATTTTGGTCGAAATTTTGTTCGAATATTATGGGTTTAATTGTTGTGGGGTTTTTTTTTTGGGTATAATTATTGGGTTGAATTTTTGGTCGATTTTTTTTGTTTGATTTGTGTTAATATTACTACGTATGTTTAATTTTTGTTTTGAATTTTGGTTTGATTTTTGTTAATTTTTATTTCGGGTTTGATTTATTGGTTGATTTTGGTTTGATAATTGAAGTTTGTTTATGGTTTTCTTATTATGGTTTTTATGTTGATTTAATTTTTCGTTATTTTTGGGGTTTATTTTGCTTTTAATTAATTTTGTTCACGGGTGGCTTTGGTGGTGGCTGATTGGGGTTTTCGCGATGAAGGGAAGATAATTCGTGGTGGCCGGGTGAGATTTATGGGGTAGGCTGGATTTTTCGTGGTGGATGGTGGTGTTTTAGGGTGGGCAGTGGTGATGGGTAAAGGTGGTGGGGCTCGCTGTGAAAGTGTAAAGTACAGGTTGCATTTTTTTTTTGTTTTTTTTATAAGTTTTAGCGATCGTTTATGACAGTCGTTAATTTCAAAATTTGTGACCTCTAACTAAATAGGTCGCAATTATTAATATTTGCGAATGTTTACCGTACGGTCGTTGAAAATAATAAAAACGTTTGTAAAAATCGGTCATAAATTTGTTTTTTTGCGACCAAGTAAATAGCGACCACCACGTTACGACCGTTGACGGTCACAATTATTTTCAACGATCATTTTCCCTATTTTTAGAGACCGTTAGAGGCGGTCGCAATTTCGCCGAATTTTAGTAGTTTTATAAACTTTGTTTATCTTATGTTTCAAAGCTACTTTTCTTGTTTTAACTTCTTTTGCGATGCAGTAACGGTATAAATTACATTTGATTGTTGCAAAGAAAAACACTAACCTTCTACTAAGGGTTACTTTTGAGTAAATCACTCCCTAAACTTACAACAAAGTTGCAATTCACTCCCTAAACTTATAAATGTTGCAAATCACTCACTCATCCTAGTAATTTATCTGTTTATAACCGGTTATCTCAGGTAACTCCCTAAACTTTGTAATATATATTTTTTTTAATTCTACAATTTAATCAAAACTGATGGACCAATGGAAGGCAACCCTGGTAAACGAGAAGCCATCATAACCTTTCACAGTACCCGAAGCGCGAGATAGCCAAAGGGCTTTATAATAAAGCATTTACAGAAGCTTTCTTCATCTTTCCTTATTCTGCCAAAAAACAAATCCCCAAAAGAAAAAAAACCTTTGAAGCTTTCCCTTTGGAGACGAACAAGGAGTATAATGTTGTGGTTTAGTACTTCTGAGCTCCCATCCTAGAAAGTTCCAAGGTTGTATTTATGGAACTAATCTTTTGACAATAAATGATGAACGACAAGTACTTTTATGTTATATATGTTGTTAACATATTCTATTTAATTTGGTTATTCCACCTATTTGATTATTCTGTTTTTTGTGAATGATTATTGTAATACCTCGTATTTTTAATGTAATTATTTATTTAATTATTATATATATTTTGGGTCAAATTATTTTAATTATTTGATTATAAGTGAAAAACGTTTTAAAATATGGGTCAGTAAATATTAAATTCAAATGTAGCCTACTTTCACAATAAAGCTTATAATCCTATTTATTTATTTATTGGGCCAATCATTTCTCCATCATATCATTTCTTATGAGGCCTAAATAATTCTAATTTATGGTTCTATAGAAACCTCAAAATTTTACAACCCAAAAACTCAAAGGTATTGTTTTTCTTCTTTATTTTCCTTTCCTTTCCTTTTCCTTTCTTTCTTTTCTTTTTTTCTTTTCCTTCCTTCCCGTAGCTTTTCCATTAGCATGGAATTTTGGTGGGTTTTAGATGGTAGTGCTCACGCTACTACCGCAAACTTCACACCCATACCTCACGGCTCAACCACCGCCAGGGCTCCACCCGGAGTTCGACCTGCCGGCGACCCAGCTGCCGCCAGCCAGCCAGCCACCCCCACCTGTGGCTTTCTCTCTCTCTCTCTTTTTGTTTTTTTTTTTATTAAATTGGTTTCTATTATGTATATATTTTGTTAGCTTTGGTTTTTATGCTTTAAGACAAGTTTAATTAGTATCATAATGAGTTTTTAGTGATGTAAAATATAAATTTCAGATTATTAATTTGGTTTATTTTCTGATTTTATGATTTTATAAAGTTAGGGTTTTTAATTTATTAAAGACATGATTTTTATGACTCTAATATTAAATAAATTTGGTGGTTTTGTATACTTAGAGTTTCTAATTGATAATTAAGCATAAAAGTGATGTTTTGATGAAGTATGAATGAGTTTTTGATTAAATTATAATGCTGGAATTTTGCCCAAAGTACTATGTTTGGTGGCTTTATGAAAAGGGTTTAATTACCCATTAAAATAGAGGTTAATTAGGAGTTTTTAAATAATTTTTAGATTATTTAGAGTGAATTAAAATGAGTTTAAGTTGTTGGAAATTATGTATACAAGGGTAATTAATGTACTCCCTATGTCCCTTAATTAGATGTCTACATCTCTTTATTATGTGAGTAATAAATGTTAGAAATAAGCATCTAATAAAGGGATGGAGGGAGTAGTGTTACTATCCCTTTATGTAGGAGACTTGGTTCAGGAATTGTTATAGTGTACTCGACTATTTTAAGAG